AAGGCTTTGGAATCCAATCAATTTGCATTTGAATCTTACCTCCATCTGCTTTACTTTTGTCTTGGGTAAGAAGTATAATCCTTCTGAGCCCAGAATAAAGAAAAGAAATAATTTTATCTGGCCCTGCACTGCTTGAGGAAAGGGACAAAATCTTTTAAACATTTATATTTCTAGTACCTGGAAAAATAGATAAATGTCTATAATGACTTTTAAATATAAAAATATCAAGATTCCTTCCTTAAGATGTATACAAATTATTTAATATATTTTTACATTTATTTTTTTCATAGGTATTATTGACTAGGATTGTTTTATATTTATAAGATCTCTTGTTTCTCCAATAATTCAGCTCCATATCGAGATTATTTACAGTGTTCATGAGTGACCTGGGATTGACCAGGAATGGTAATGAACAGTTTTCATTTATTTTGGGGTTCTTTTTCAAAAGTAAAAAACAAGGCACTTGAAAAATAAAACTTTATACAAAAAGATTTAGACTTTTCCTGAACCCTAGTTCTTACATATATGAATAATCTTAAAGTCTGAATCCTCTTATTCAGGTCTAACAATACTAACGCCATTCTGTGTCAAGGGAGATGCTGACAGCACATTGCAGCCCTCCCCCAGGGAGCAGTAGGTACTGGCCTTAAGAAATGGGTGGGGGGATCCTGGTACAGATTGTGCTGACTTCTAATTAAGGGTGGCGGTTGGTCTTGGTGCTTTTATCTTTAGGAGCTTATCACTTTATTTCTATAAATACCTAAAGCTTTGAGTAGTCAGAGATATTTATCTCATTATGTCAAAGGACAGTACCAGTGTCACACTGTTTATATATTGCTGATAAGTGAGATGCTTTTTATCCCCCGTCTTTCATAGCCATCATCCTATCCTCCTCCAGTACATACATAATTTTCAATTCATCTCTCTTCCAACTTAAGTTAGGACATCTATTCTTTTCTAAAAAGTCTCTGGAGATGGTCCAGGATTGTATTCAGTAACTGAGAGAAAATTCCATAAAGAACATGTTTATAAAAATACTGCAGCATGTCACCTTACCGCAAAAAGAAAAAGAGAAACGTGAAATATTCTGTCAGCTACAAACGCAGTATAATTTTTGTTTCACATGGTTGAAACAGGTAAGTTTGAAGAGTTTAGATGTCAAACTCCTTTTTCTTTGATTTAACTTTTGGCATCGGATCCCATGAACAAATGGAAATTTGCTAATTAACGTGTGGTTTTTGGTGATTCACAATATAAACAAATGGGAGAATAAGTTTTAATTTTCCCAATAGCCAGGATATTATTACTTCTAAAAGAAATGTCACTTATAAAAAGCCCCATCATACCCTATATTTTATGTTGTGCAGAACTTTTCTTTATCTACATCATTTAGTTACATAATTTGTGGCAACAGACAGACGCATGAAACAATATTCAACATTTTAACTGATGGAAATACTCAGCATGCCAGAAAAATAAATCTTTATACAAAAGAGATATCCAAGGCCAGACATGGTGGCTCATGCCTGTAACTCCAGCACTTTGGGAAGCTGAGGCGGGAGGATCATGAGGTCAGGAGTTTGAGATCAGCCTGGCCAACATAGTGAAACTGTCTCTACTAAAAATACAAAAATTAGCCGGGCACAGTGGCATGTGCATGCCTGTAGTCCCAGCTACTCTGGAGGCTGAGGCAGGAGAATTGCTTGAACCCAGGAGGCGGAGGCTGCAGAAAGCCAAGACCACACCATTGCATTCCAACCTGGGCAATAGAGTGAGACTCTGTCTCAAAAAAACAAAAACAAAAACAAAGACAAAAGATATATCCAGTAAAATTCATATACAAACCCTAACAAATGACAAATTTAATTCATAAGTGATTAGCTTGAACACAACATTAAACATTTTAAGACAAGTAATGCTACCATCAGCATCAGCAATGGATTCAAATCCCTTACAATGTTGGCCAAGTCTTAATACACAGAGAAAGTAAAGTGAATGAATATAAGTGAGTTTTACTTTCTATAACACTCTCAATCCTGGATTGGAGCTTGAAAGCTCGAATTTCCAATATGTCTAATGTGCCATGTGTTCAGGACCATCTGAAATACATGATGTTCTAGTCCAGGCAAGTAACGCCCTAAGTAATATGTTCAGACTGATGGGATTCAGAACACACTACCCCAAAATATGGTGCCTTGGCATATTTAGTATTTTGAGCTGAAGAAATGTGACAAATAGCAAATGTAGGAAGGACTCTCTGATCCACCCCTGAAGTAGGCCATAAGACCCTAATATGAGAGGTGCGCTTCCTATACCTAGAGGAAAGGACCATGCTTATCTCTAAAAACGGAGGAACAGTAAGAGGAATCTGAATGAACAAGCCCTGCTTTTAGTTTACTACGCTTAGCTCATACCCCTTTGTTTTTGTTCCCTATCACATTTTCCCCATGATTTTCCACTCCTCATCAAACTTAGCATAAAAACACACAGGTTTACCCTTTCTTTGGGTCTTTGTTTTCTTATGAAGGCTTTGGTGTCACAAAAAGCTTACATTAAATAAATCTGTATATTTTTCTCTGGTTAATCTGGTTTTTGTTACAAAGCCAAGGGTGAGAACTTAGACTGGTAGAAGGAAAGGACCTTTTTCCTCCTCTACAAGATCTTGTTTTAATGTCATGAGAAAAAAACAAAATACATAAGTTCAGAAGTTCTCCAGCAAACTATAGCATCTGGAAAATTTACAATAACTGATGTGATCTTTTACACACTGACACATTCAAAATGAAGATAAACATATAGGATTTAGCACATATTAAAGGTAAGGAATTTAAATACTGATGATGGATAAGGCAGGAATGTTTTTAAATCATTTCCTTTGTTACACAGCGCTAATCTATTAAAATGCTATGACTACATAAATGTTGTTTATTGCCTATACTTCAAATTCTTTTAGGAAACAACACTATAAAGAGAAAATGGAGATGGATGATGAAATCTTAAAATACCTTTATAGGAATAAAAACTTGTTGAAAATATTCAGAAAGCTACAAATCTTGTATGAGGACTATTAACTAAAACTACATGATTTATTTTGCAATCAACATCTAATTACTCTAGCAGAGAACACAATTAATTCATTCATGGAAGTCTAAAATTGGGTAATGCAAATAGTTGCCAAATTTCCTTACTGCTAATTTGGGCCACTAAGCATAAAACTCATCAGACTTGTTTAAAAGTGTTTTCTTTTGGGAGGAAATGTAGAGAACAGGAAGAAAAGACTAAAAGGAGCAAGAAGCTGGTAAAACTATTTAAAAAGGGGGGGTGGCTCATGCCTGTAATCCCAGCACTTTCGGAGGCCGAGGTGGGTGGATCACTTGAGGTCAGGAGTTCGAGACCAGCCTGGCCAGCACGGTGAAATCTTGTCTCTACCAAAAAACAAAAATTAGCCAGGCATGGTGGCATGTACCTGTAGTCCCAGCTACTCAGGAGGCTGAGGTAGGAGAATTGCTTGAACCTGGGAGGCGGAGGTTGCAGTGATCTAAGATTATGTCACTGCACTCCAGCCTAGGCAACAGTGAGACCCTATATCTAAATAAATAAATAAATAAATAAATAAATAAATAAAATAAAAGAGGGGTCAACTATACCTGTAATAAATACTAGACTGCTCCAAAACGGGGCACAGAAAAAAAATCTAAAAAGCTTAAGTTAGTTTATCCTTCCTTGACACTTTTGCCTTTCAGTGTTTAAATATTTTGAAATAGACAAATTATTTTATATCTTGAGTTTTAGATTTGCAAAAGGCTGACGTAATTTTTTAGTAGATATAAACAAAGGTCATATTATATCTATTATTTAGACTGATTTTCTAAATTGTAAGCAAAATTTTTTCCCATAAAGGAAGGAAGAATGCATTCAAAGAAGATGAAACTATTGAATAGTCAGAAAAATAAGGCAACAGTAAGCAAACATTGTCCAAATAGCTACTATGCAGATTACCAAATTAAATCTTATAATGTAAAAGGAACAATACTAATTTTTATTTAAGATTATCACTTTGCTCTTTCATGCAGCAATTACTCTCCAATATTGTCCTTACACAGCTGACCTGAAGGATGTCAGGGAGCTGTAGAGGATGCACAGAAGGCTGAATTACACAAGAGTTAAGGCTGGGCGTGGTGGCTCATGCCTATAATCCCAGCACTTTGGGAGGCCTAGGCAGGCAGATCACCTGAGGTCAGGAGTTTGAGGCCAGCCTGGCCAACATGGCGAAATCCCCGCCTCTACTAAAAATACAAAAAAATTAGCCAGGCGTGATGGCGGGCACCTGTAATGCCAGCTACTCAGGAGGCTGAGGCAGGAGAATCGCTTAAACCCGGGAGGCGGAGGTTGCAGTGAGCTGAAATTACACCAGTGCACTCCAGCCTGGATGACAAGAGCAAAACTCCATCTCCAAAAAGAAAAAGAAGAAGAAAAAAAAAAGGAGTTAGGGATGGAAGGATCAGAAACAAAATCTACTATCTTTTCATTTAGACCTCTATTCCCAAAGAAATAATATTAGAAGTTATCAATCTAGTGATTCACTTATAATATTTAACCTCAGCCATTTCTGTAATCTTTATGAGTTGAATTAAAAGGTCTAAAGGTCTGATCTGTTTTAAGAACTGATAATCTACGGTGCATAGTATTACCTTATCAGTGGGAGACAGAACTGTAGAAAACAAATACTCTCTTCTCAGCCCTAACCCACCTTTCATGAATAAAGTTCTATAAAAATGATGCATATTTATGAAAGAATGGGGCAGGAAATGAATTTACTTTTTAAATCTGTCTGCCTTCACAAACCAAGATTCTGCACACAAGATGAAATTCTACAGGGGAGAATGGAATTTTTTCTGTCTTTACTTTAACATTTGGACACAATTTTGAAAAGCAGGAAATGAAACAATAAACTATGATACATATACTACGAAGTAAGGTAATGAAGAATCTTAACTCACCATTTTTTAGGTTTTGTTAATGGTTTGTATTTGCTGTATTTTACACGCCACTCAAGAACTTCTTTACAGCGCTGACATACTCCATCATGAAGTTTTGCATTAATTTTCTTAAAAACAAACAGAAAGACAAATTGAGAATTTCACGTGTGAGCCAGCATTGCAAATCCCACAAAAGAATATATGAGATGTTGTTTTAAAATATAACTGAACCTTAATCTGCATAACAACTTATGATACATTATGTATTTTTATGTATATTACTCAATTTGTTATTTTTTTTTAACAAAGGCAATGGTTCTTTTTTTTTTTTTTTTTTGAGACAGTCTCACTCTGTCGCCCAGGCTGGAATGCAGTGGCACAATTTCACTCACTGCAAGCTCCGCCTCTCAGGCTCAAGCGATTCTCCTGCCTCAGCCTCCTGAGTAGCTAGGATTACAGGCACGCGCCACCATGCCCAGCTAATTTTTTGTATTTTGGTAGAGACAGGCTTTCAACTATGTTGCCCAGGGTGGTTTTGAACTCCTGAGCTCAAATGATACACCCGCCTAGGCCTCACAAAGTGAGCGTATTATAGGTGTGAGTCACTGGGCCCAGCCCTCATCTAGAAAATTTTTAACCTTCCCATTGGTTCTGATGTATACATATGTCAAAACTCAAACTGCACAGTTAAGATACGTGTATTACATAGTATGTAAGTTATATTTCAAAAAAAAAATAATAAAAAAGAAAAGCTTGCTCATATTTGAAGACTACCATTTCAACAATTCAAATCCTCCCAGTGAGCTGGAATTAAACTGAGAAATTGGGCTGTCCTGAATTGACAGTTTGTTGAAGAGAACAGAGACTGAAATTTGAGGAAGGGGTGCCAGGGAGAAGCGGCTGGAAGCAAAAAGGCATTTCATTTTTCAATTTTATCCTTTTGAATTCTCATGTTAGAAAAGTTTTAGAAAAGCTCCCCCTACTAACTTGGTTTCTTCAAACTTAAAAAATATGTATTCATATGTGAATATCTGTGGTAGAGAAAGGGCTTTATAAGTTAAAGTTTTTTTATTATAATTTTCTTTTCAAAATGTGTTGGGAAAGAAGGAAGATAGGAAAAATTTAAATGTGTCATGTATTTTCTCTAATAGTTTTATATTTCATAACATACTCATTTGATTCAGGACACAGACTATATATTTTCACTGAGTACTCTGAGAATTCTCTCGTTTGCTTTGGCTGTGGAAGCTTGGTCTTTGCCTATTGTTGGAATAATGAACAGAAGACATTTAAAATTTTCTTCGCTTCTTTTGTTTTCTTTTTAAATTTCTCAGGGGAAGAAAGAAATGCATCACAAGTATGCAGATTCTTTGGGAGGCTATTAGATATTAAGTTAAAAGCACAATGTTTAGATCAGATCATCTGAAAGAAACAATTTTTGAATAGCGCTTGATATTCTTGAAAGTTCTAAACAAGAAGATAAAATATTTCAAAAAACATTTATTCAACGAGAAAATATTTCAGGAATATTGTGAAAAACCATAAATTAAGCTGTGAATATATTTCATTTTATTTAATTTTTCTCTTTCTTCAAGGAATCTTCACCATCAGGAAGTGTGAACATATTATTTAACTTTGTCATGAGAAATACATTCTGTTACTTACGAATTGTGTATAGGTGCATTCTTTCCTTCTGGACATAGATGGAGAGTCCCAGTTCCGCATGCTACTATATTCCCTCCTTACTCTGGGCCCCTAACTGTTGCCAGAAAGAAGGGAATCTGTACCTACACACCAAACTCTTCATCCTCTCAACCTTTGTACTTACTAATAGTTATCATGGACAAAGCTAGCTAAGAAACACAGAATCAAAGTTTACATGCATCATTTGTCTACTCTGTTGTCCAGAACATCTTACTAAGCATTACTTATATTTCCTTAAGTGATTGACTTTGAACTATGACTTCAATATGAATGTGATATTATACTTCCTAATTGGAATATCCTTAGAACACAGAACATTTCATTACCTGCTATTTTATTACATATAACACATTCTGCTTGTTAACTAGGAAGCATTCTTTGGTTCCTTGTTTGTTTCTGTATCCAATTTCTGACCAGTTCATCTTGATTTACAAAGCTGTGCACAGTTTGGAAACTGGTTTCTTTAGGGTGGATCAACAGTAGAACAAAACAAGTCTTTGTGGGAACTTGTCCTGTGAGTGATGTGTGAAGCAGTATAAACAGATATGCTGTGCAGGGTTCACATGACTAACAGGCAGTACTATCAAATTAAACTTGATTTTTATGTGTTAAGAAATTAATGAGAGTAAGAATGAGAAACAATAGTATTTTTCACTTAAAAATAGGCACAGAAGAAAGAAAAGTGTATACCTGTTTTACCATACTTTGCCAAAATAGAAGTGAATTCTAGAGATGTGAGCAAAGAAAGTTAATCCTAGTTTTAGGAATCCTTCTGCCTGGGGGAAAGGAAACGACAATCTTACCTTATTCACCTTTATATTTACAATTAACCCTATTTTGGCAATTACTTTTAGTATATTCCTCATGGTAGAAGATCATAGGTAATTAAGGTTAAAATTGAAGTCTGCCCAAATATAAAATCAAAAGTTTTATAAATACAAAAGCTTATAAAGGTCATTTAGTTCGTTCAACAAGCTACTTTCCAGATTTTTGAAGAAAAAAAAAATCTTCAGTGGAAGAGTCCACTGAACTTAGGAAACAGTGAAAGAAGAAACCCTTACTTATCAAATGAATACTTTTCAAAGTTAGAATAAACTTAAGGAACATCAAAAAGCATGCCTACTTAATACATACATAATGTCTTAAAAACGTGTTAGTCATCATTCCTACATCTTTTTTTTTTTTTTTTTTGAGACAGAGTCTTGCTCTGTTGCCCAGACTGGTGTACAGTGGGGCGATCTCAGCTCACTGCAACCTCCGCCTCCTGGGTTCAAGCAATCCTCTTGTCTCGGCCTCCTGAGCAGCTGGGATTACAGGCGTGCACCAGCATGCCAGCTAATTTTTGTATTTTTAGTAGAGATGGGGTTTTGCCATTTAGCCAGGCTGGTCTCAAACTTCTGGCCTCAACTGATCGCTTTCCTTGGCCTCCCAAAGTGCTGGGATTATAGGCGTGAGTCACTGCACCTGGCCCATACAACATATATTTTAGAGTAAGCATTGTTACTGCTGCTTTAAGCATTCTATTTGTTGTCAAACAATACATCTTTAACACAGTAATGCCATACAGAAATTGGGTGAGAAAGGGCCGGGTGCGTTGGCTCACACGTGTAATCCCAGCACTTTGGGAAGCCAAGGCAGGCAGATCACCTGAGGTCGGGAGTTCAAGAGCAGCCTGACCAACACGGAGAAACCCTGTCTCTACTAAAAATACAAAATTAGCTGGGGTGGTGGCGCATGGCTGTAATCCCATCTACTTGGGAGGCTGAGGCAGGAGAATCTTTCGAACCTGGGATTTGGATGTTGCAGTGAACTGAGATCGTGCCATTGCACTTCAGCCTGGGCAATAAGAGCGAAACTCTCTCTCAAAAAAAAAGAAGAAAAAAAAAAGAAGCTGGGTGAGAAAGGACTTCAACTCCTAAGAAGGTAGCAGGAGCAAATTGTAAACATTTTATCTGTACCAATATGCTGATGCTGAAAAATATTTTATAAAATATAAAGTATCATTTAACAGAAGGAAGGTACTATGGTAGGTGAAAAGAAATTTGAATAGCATTCAAAAGCAACTAAAATAATTTTTCCTTAGGATTTTTTTTGTACATAATTCTTTCAGAATTTCCAAAGGTAAAACAAAGGCTTATTTATTCCTTTTAATTGAAAACAAAAAAACAAAAACATAATTTAAAAAATGAAATTCTCAAAGAAAAATTCCAATGCCAAATCCAATGCTAAAAATCTATTTCCATAAACTGGCTTTGTTCTTTTCCCTGCAGTATTCTTTCCCTAAAATAAGGTATTTTATGCTACTACTGCTACACTGTTACTCCAGAAATAGAAACTTTTATATCTTATTTAATCATATTTAAAAGCATGTGCTTTGAAATTTGCTAGAAACAGTTCTTTATTCTAAATTTGGCTAGAGGATAAAAGATCCCTGGATTTGGGGGCAAGAACTCACGTGACTAATAACAATAACGTAAAAATCTGACTTTTAGGCTGTGAGTTTCTTTCTTTCTTTCTTTTTTTTGAGTTGGAGTCTCACTCTGTTGCCCAGGTTGGAGTGCAGTGGCATGATCTTGGCTCACTGCAACCTCTGTCTCCCGGGTTCAAGTGATTCTCCTACCTGAGCCTCCTAGTAGCTAGGATAACAGGCACACGTCACCACGCCCAGCTAATTTTTGTATTTTTAGTAGAGACAGGGTTTCCCCATGTTGGCCAGGCTGGTCTCAAACTTCTGACCTCAAGTGATCTGCCCACCTTCCCACCTTGGCCTCCCAAAGTGCTTGGATTACAGGTGTGAGCCACAGCACCTGGCTTTAGGCCGTGAGTTTCAAATCATAAACTACATTATTTAAATTCCTTTAAATATGGCTAGAACATTGTTGGATATAAAGTATCTTATAAAACACAACCAAAAAATAGATGAGGGAATCAGAATCAGAGAAAAGTAAGGGTAGAAGGGAAATTACAAAGCAGTCAGGAGTGCAGCTGGAAGTGCACTCGTTAGAGATGGGCCACAAATGAAGTCTGAGCTTTCTAGCACCCAGTAAAACATAACTCATTGTCTGTAACATGTCAAAAATCCAGTTTCTCAGAAGCAGCACAACTATTCTTGTTACTGAAATGCAAAGTTTCATGTTTCCTACACCATGTGATACAGTAAGCGACGCTCTCAAAAACGTCCTTACAACACAAAGCATTTCACAGAACTGTTTTCTATCCTGGTTCTCAATGTAGGCCAGTGTTATAATGCCAAAACAGAGTGCAATAAAGTTATTCTTAGGTGGACAATGTAGGTACAGATCCCTGACAGTCATAAGTTCTACAGGAATGCACTGCATATCATAAGGCCATCTTCAATAAACACTATTTCTCTCAACTTAGCTCTAAAAGCAATCCCTTCTATTATGAGAAATATCAAACTTGC